AATTGAAGTAGAAATATTATTATGTAACTGTAACTTTATTATTGTAAAAACTTCATTACTTTTAACCTTCAATATTTAAGTAATTTAGTACTGCTTTGTGATATCACAAAACCCGGAAAACAAACGCTGTAGTCCAAACGAGCCGTTCGTTGTAGTTCTTGAAAAGGTATTTTTTTAAACGAAATATCTGGACTTTTGGAGATTTGTAAGTTTGAAGATCTTTTTTATGCCCAAACATACACACTACACACTGACTAAAATTCAAAAAGTCAAAAAGCATAATAGGACCCCTTTAACGTATGTTTTCTCTTTCAAGTGAACTACTTCATGGCAGAGATTCTTTCAAATCATATGTACAGTATGTTTCTGGTTTTAGAAATTGCCTAAATCAAGTTTTTTGGAAAAACTCTCTTTTGGAAAACCATTTCACATTGGAAGCAAAACAATAATGTTTCCGTAGGCAGCTCACACAGTTTTAAAAAATATCAAGCATTTGTTATTGTCTAGAATGATTTTATATCCAGACAAACAATACTCTTTGTGAACACAACTGTCAATCAGTTTGAAGCTCAGCTGCCATATGTGATCTCTGGGTGTATCTTTTTCCTGCTTCAGCAAGGGACCCTCTATCTGCCTGTCGTGTATGTGTGTGATCTATCCAAAGCTGACAGTGACTTGTTGTTATATTGGATGGGGTAGTAGTGACAGCGGCTGTTAGCATTGGGGATCACAACTGCGAGACCCACACCATAATCTCACCTGTTTGTTGTCCTCCTCCTCCTGAGCCTTGCAAAACTCCTGTTCGATAGAGCAATCCAGCTCGCTGAAGAGACCCACCTCCTCGCAGTTCTTCAAAAAGCGCGTTGGGGTTGGGGTCTGGTCTAGAAACATTCAAGGAAAAAAATACATAAAAATTTAGCAGGGCACTTTAGTTTAACTGTTTACAATGACATTGAAGGTCTAATAGGTTTGAATATCGAGGAAAAATGTTATTATTCACACTTATTATTTCTTATCTTTTATTATTAATTCTATATCAAAAATAAGCATAACTACGGTGGCCGAGAAGTGCAAAACAAAACACAAATCTGAAAACAAAATAACAAATTACAAACGCAAATGCAAGTGTAAAAAACTAAATATAAATTCAGAAAACACAACAACAATTCAGAAAACATTATAACAAGTCAGAAAACACAACGACAAATCCGAAAACAAATTAACAAGTCAGAAAACACAACGACAAATCAGACAAACCGGAAGAGGTAGGTATAGTTTGAGACAGCGCCATTGGTTTGGGATTACTCACCGCTGACTGGACGAGACATCTGTCAATCAACTTATACAGGGAAGAACCAGCCGAAGAACAGCCGAGTCGTGGTAGAAAGTTCGGCGATGGTATTAAAGTAGCTCAGTTTAAATGTATTGTATGAATTGCCCTTACTATGGAATAAAAAATACGGAGTGTATATTTACATTTAGTTAAAAGTGGCTAAAGAGCATCAGCTCCAGTGGTGCAGGTGGTTAAGTGCTTGACATCGGCTTTCTGACACGATCGACCTGGGTTTGATACCGCCTTTCGGTGAACTTTTTTTTCTCCCTTTTCAAATCTCGTATTAGCAAATAGCAGTAGTTTTAGCAATATGCTATTTACTCTAAGTGCAAATACCTATTTACACTATGTTAAAATAGCAGGATTTCTACTATCAAGTATACTACTTGTTGCAAATAGTGGCAATTATCTGCACTTCAGTATTGTAGTACATTATAAAACAGTATGCAATAATAACACATTGAGTGTAAATTTAAATTTTAATTATTAAATGGATGCCACTTTTGATTATTTCCTTAATTGTTATTGAAAATAAATGCCTTTACGATGTGATACGAGATTTGAAAAGGGAGGGAAAAAAAGTTTGGCAAAAGGCAGGCTCAAACCCGGGTCGATCACGTCGAAAAGCCAATGTCAAGCACTTAACCATCTGTGCCACTGGAGCTGATGTTTTCCAGCCACTTTTAACTAAATGTAAATATACACTCCGTATTTTTTATTCCATAGTAAGGGCAATACATTTAAACTGAGCTACTTTAATACCACCTCCGAACTTTCTACCACAACTGCTGTTCTTCGGCTGGTTCTTCCTTTATACGTTGATTGACAGATGTCTCGTCCAGTCAGCGGTGAGTAATCCCAAACCAATGGTGCTGTCTCAAACTATACCTACCTCTTCCGGTTTGTCTGATTTGTCGTTGTGTTTTCTGACTTGTTATTTTGTTTTCGAATTTGTCATTGTGTTTTCTGACTTGTTATAATGTTTTCTGAATTGTTATTTTGTTTTTTAGACTTGCATTTGCGTTTGTAATTTGTTATTTTGTTTTCAGAATTGTGATTTGCTTTGCACTTCTCGGCCACCGTACATAAGCCTTTTTTTAATATTATAAACATTTGACTTTTGTCACCAAATCAAAGTCATGTGGTGAAACCAATGTGCAGAAACCCGCAGGGGGGAAAATAAAACAGGAAGGGATACCACAGAAAAAAATTAGAAATACATTTTAAATATATATTTCTTAATGTTTTTAAAATATAATTATTCAAAATAATTTTTTATAATCTATCACATTCTATTTTTACCCAAATTTGAAATTACATTTTAAATGTATTACGGTCAGTTATTGTCAGTTCTGCATGAACAAAATTCTGAATGTGGGCACCCTGACAACGACTCTGCATCTCAAAGTTCAAAACAAGTTTGCGATTAATTCCCTATGCAAATTGAACCCAACCCAAACAGCTAAATAAAAGTTTCTGGCGGGACCACGTGATCCGTGGCACTAGGATGCATTTCTAGCTTCATGCCGTGTCTCTCTCCGCTCAGGCCGTGTCCTTTTCATTATTTACTCTTGTCAGAGTGGCAGATCAGATTTCTGGGATCAGGGACCGGATTCTTAAGAAATTTCTTAAGAAATATTCCACTAAGTATGAAAGAATGTTCTTCATTCTTTGACAATTCTTGAAAAATTCTTAAGAAGTTATCATTAATGTTTTTAAGAACATCTTTTTTTTTCTTAAGAAGAAAATGACAGTTACAAAATATTCTTAACTTTTTTCTTAAGTTAAAAAATAATAAGATAATGGCAGTTAAGAAAACTTTTTTTCTTAAGAATGTTTTGTGAATCCGGCCCCAGCTCTGGGTTTCTCACTCGCTCCGTATTCTTTTACACGCAGGCCCTTCTTTCAGTAACTCGCTCGCTAACAAAGGTGCACATGCGTTCCTTCACTCACTACCTCTCGTTTGCTCAGCCTCTTTCCCTCAAACACACTCCACAGAGAAATCACACACACATCTCTTATTGAGCTTGTGGTGGGATGATCATTTGTAGCCGCTACTGGAACCACAAAGTAACTCATTATCATGTACTTTATCAAACCCACAATGAATATTACAGTCTAGACTGAACCGCACATCCAGGACTAGTAGAATCCCGTCAAGGGTTTGATTTCAGGATCCCTGATCTGTGTTAATGTGTACAGTATCTTGACAGAAGAGGATGAATTATAAAGATATATTTAAATACAAATACTCTTGCATCTTATTCATAACAAATAAGAGTGTCCAGAATAAAGATCAAAACTAGTTTAAAAAATGCATGTGCTTTTTTATTCATGGCTTCATATGGTTATAATTATTCATAATTATTTATAATTTAATTATATAATAAATTATATAATTATATAATAAAAACAAGAGGCACATCTTAAATATCTATGTATAGGACTTGCATCGTCATTTTGCAAGTGTTCAACTGCAATCTATTTGTTCAGACAGTGTAGTCAATATCACAACAACAAAATACTTTGTTATTTTGGAAAGAGAGGACAGAAAACTAAACATTTTGATCATCAAATCGATCATTATGGTATATTAAAAAACATTAATGATTACTGTATTTTACATATTCATAAATATGCTTTGAGTCTTAAACTGCTTATTAGTGTCCTTATTGGTAATAGATAGATAGATAGAATTTATTTATTTAGATTAAATACATAATAATAAACTAGACAAAAACACTGTTTTGTTTTGTTTTGTTTCGTTTTGTTTTGTTTGCATGGATTTCATGTGTTTTTCATGCAGATACACCAAAAAAGGCTGCCTTTTTCAACCAAGCATGAGTACACAGCTTTGGTTAGTTAGTGTTCAATCTCTAAATATACACCTCTAGATATGCAATCCTCCACCTTTTCATCATAGTTGTTGAGGCTTATTTTCTTTTCTTCCCTGCACTGTTCCCCCTTCCTCTCGTCCCCTGAGAGGGCCAGCGGTCTAATTGATATGGAAATCATGGTCCGGGTTGATGACTGGGATTAGGGGAGTGAGGCAGAGCACAGCACAAATATTATTTTAGCCACATGGCTCTGCATTTAAAACTACACCTGGTTAATACACCTAATCAAAGACAGACGCTAAATGGAGACTAACACATGAGCTGTGTGTGTGTGTGTGTGTGTGTGTGTGTGTGTGTGTGTGTGGTCTGTCTCACCTGACAGCATGTTGTCATTTTTGATGGAGGGGAATTTGAGGGTCATCTCATGCTTGTGCCGATGAATCATTAGATGATCCTCCGTAGGGAATCTCTAGAGAACATGGAAACAACTGGTTGCGATTTAATAACTCGAAGCTCACATAAAAAAAGCAGAGGTTTGTTTTCTTTCCATTTTGTGTTCTTGAAAAGCAGTCTTACAATTAGTGACTCTATCAAGCAATCTTATACTTACCAATGAATACAACAGGACTGAGCCTTAGGCATAAACTGTCTGTCTGAATAGATTACAAGAACACCTTTCTGATTGAAAATACCTTCTCATTACGGTAATTACATAATCTTAATTGATGTTTAAGAGCACCTGACAGGAATGCTGTATCTGTAAATGGTCCACATGAACCAGCCTGCTCAAACAGATTGTGACAGGCCTAGTCTAATTGTGCAGCGGTTCAAAACAGGTGGATTGTGATCTGAAAATGGGCCGCAGGTGTGTTCTGATTACGGAAAGAAGGGAAAAAAAATATATGCTATATGCAAATTTAAAGAATAAAGATAATTTATAGAACAGAGGAGAGAAAAATAAATATACCTTTAAAAAGGCAGGAAAGCAATAACTATATCTTTGGTTGGTGATAACAAATCAGTGACAACAATCAAAATCAGTATTTTGCAGTATATATATATATTTATTTATTTATTTTGTTGGTCATTTTGTGTATTTGTCATATCAGTATTTGCACATGTTGACGAACCTTTGCAGTCCATGGTAATATTAATCAATTTAAAAGTATGATTTTGATTACTTTTTTTTTTTTTTATCTTTGTATGATAACCAATATTGTTTATTATATTGGGTGACCATTATAAAATCTGGATCCTCAAGCAAAACCAGTTGTTTTAGTATAATTAAGATACTATTATAGGTTTCCTTTATATTTTGAATGTTTTATTTTTATATTTTCTGTTTTCACTCTAATTTGAGCTATTTTTTGTCATTTTGCTGTGTTTTGACTTTTATTAAATATGTCTGTATAGCTTTTATTATTTTTTATTTCACTTTTATTTTTTAGTTATTTTACGAAGTTAAACTAAGTGAAAATGAAAAATGTTGCCTCCGCTAAAGTTTGTTTTATTTCAAGTAACGAGGGTTTTTTATGGTTTTAGTTTTTGTTATTTTAATACATAAAGTCAAACTAGATGTTGCCTTGGTCTCTAACTGAAATAAAATAAGTTTTTTTTTTTTTTACCTCATCCAAAGAAATACCAAGCCAAGAATCTTATATCAAGACATCCAGTTGATGACATTTGCCTCAACAAGATACCAACAAGATACCATTTCACTGTTGTTGTCTGTGGTGCAGTTTCACATTAATAAAGAGCTTTCTCGAGTTACAGGACCATTCGTCTTTGCTATTGTCTTTTCAGACTCACCTGAGAGCAGCCCAGGGCGCTGCACACGAATGGCCTTTCCTGCTCGGAGTTCATCACTGTCACTGGCTCCTCATATACCTGAACACAAAGCAAAGGAGAGAAATTCAAATCAGGGGGTGCCTCCAGGACGCTCACATTATGTCACCAATATATGGTGTGCCAGTGATAACCAACTCTGTGGTTCCCAAAGAGGCTTTGACAGAATCTCAGTGAGGATTCGGTGTCCTATGCCCTGGGAGAGGGCATTCAAAGTTGTAAAGGTTTAGTCTAAACTCTAGGAGGGAAGCTTAAGAGCCTAAAACTGACCCCTAAAGTGTCACCTGCTCCTTCGTCGCCATGGAGCCGTCGCTGACCGCAGGGTAAGATGTAAACTATACTCTCTGTGTTGTGCACGCAAGTCTGTGGCTAACCCAGACACATGGCACCGAGGTCAACGTATCAATGAACTGCCAGTCATTAGCAACTCTTTTGACACCTAAACTGTCCTTTTAATACCTCGCCAGCCATGACTTTAGCAGCTCTTCTTAGGTGAGTCAGTGACAAATAAGAACATCCAAGATAAAGAACAGGAAACGTGTTATAAAAGAAAACTATTATAAAATCTAACAAAAGTTAAAATTATAAACTTTCAAAATCTCATGTAGTGTAAGCACCAAGTAAAACACCTTCAGTGTACGTATCTTAATCATAATTATAATAATAATAATTTAAAAAAATGTAATCTATTTTTCAAGTAAAAGTTTTTTTTTTTTTTATATTAATTATCAATTTATAATGACCTATATTACGATATAATTTATCTTTATGATAAAATTTACTATAATATAACATAATTATTCTTCATGATATAATTTTCTGTATTATATTTTATTTTCCTACATGTTGGTCGCACCACATGACTTAGTGAACTAACTTTATTTTTAATATTTATTGTATTTATTTTGTATTATTGTATTCAACAAAACTGTTTTTTGAGAAATAATAATGAAAGCTACACAATAAAATTTTCTTCATCCTTTTATTGAAATATCCTAATATTTCTTCATTATATATATACTGTATATATATAGATAGTTGTGTAACCTTGATATTATAACTTTTTTTTTTTTTTTTACTTAATTAAATATATTACTATAATAACTGACCCAGGTCAGTTTTAAAATAAATTGGTAATGGTGAAATATAGTTGCCCCATTTGCCCCTGTGCAATAATGTGTGGTAACACTAACAGTGTGACAAATTATGTTGAGGGGAATAAAGGGTAAAAATACCATAACAAAACTCTGAACTATTTCAAGTGTCCATTTAACAAGAGGTGATTACATTTCAATGACAAATCTCTCTCTCCGTTACAGCTCACCATGAGTGCTGGAATCACTTCCTCAGTGCCATGATGCTGCTAAATGCCATGGATGACAGACTGACAATGGAATGGTATGCCAGCCATTCAGCTTCACGCACATGCAGTGTAATCGGGCCGCTCTTCTGATGCTGATGGGTTTGCCATCGGTTTTCTTACGTGGGCCCATGCGGAGCCCTCTACTACTGTCGCCATGGGGATTAGAGTGCGATTCAGTGGAATATATCAGGCGCCAATTTTGCTTCAGTCTCAAGAGCAGCTCATTCTATTCAACTACTGATGATCTATAGGGTGCCTGGGTGCGTGATTCTGACTGTACGTCCCTCTTTCCACCCCTGCATTCTTAAAATAAATCTATGAGAATGTAAAAAGTAGGCCAAGATAGACGCTATGGCTTTTTTTTTTTTTTGCTTTGGATCATTGGAATTCTGTGTGTTTGATTTAAATAGGGTAAAATGTGTAAACTGCAGTGTTGGGAGTAACGCATTACAAGGAACGTGAGTTACGTAATCAGATTACTTTCTTCAAGTAATTAGTAAAGTAATACATTCAGGGCCGTCCTTAGGGGGGTGCAACTGGTGCGGTCGCACCGGGCCCCGAGGGGAACGAGGTGTAAGAACCAAGTGTAAGAACCAAGTAAAACCCCTTCAGTGTACGTATCTTAATCATAATTAAAATATATATATTTTATAAAAATATTATTTTAAAGTAAAAGTTTTTATTTAATTTTTTAAAAACATTAATTATCAATTTATAATTACCTATATTAAGATATAATTTATCTTTATCATACAATTTACTATAATATAACTTGTCTTTTCGATATAATTTACTATATTATGATATAATTTATCTTCATGATATAATTTTGTGTATTATATTTTATTTTCCTACATGTTGGTCGCACCACATGACTTAGTGGACTAACTTTATTTTTAATATTTATTTTATTTATTTTGTATTATTGCATTCAACAAAACAGTTTTCTGAGAAATAATAATGAAAGCTACACAATTAAATGTTCTTCATACTTTTATTGAGAATTTTTCTTCATTATAAATATATAATATTATATATATATAATAATAATAGATAGTTGTGTAACCTTGATATTTTAACAATTTTTTTTTTTACATAATTAAATATATTACTATAATAACTGAATATAATTGCAACCCCCCTCCCCGGAACGCGAATGGACCGAGGGTGAATACATTACTTTATAATTTACAAGAAAATATCTGATTTACTTTTTCAAATAATGCCAGTTTTCCTGTTTATTGACTGACAGCTCTCCTGTCCCCATGTTGAGAGAAATCGGGAGTAAGTGCAGAGGCGTGTCAAAATAATGATTATTATAGTTCTAGACTAAATGTGAACATGCATTTTACTCATCTCACTTACACAAAAACAGATTCAGTATTCCTCAAAATGAGTAAAAATAATGAAATGAGGCATATCTGCAATAATTTTAAATGTTAACACAAATCCTTTATGTATTTAATCCCATTTTATTAACCGGTGTCTTTGCTGCTAACCTTCAATGATCCAATTCATCCATACTGATAAGCATATTGACTTTAGATAAACAATATTTGTGTTTAATTTTTTTTAAATTGCTTAAGTGTGTTGAACTTTCTTTTCCTGCGTCTTTTTCTTCATGCAATCCAGAATGGCAGTACAGCTGAAAGGTTTGTTTGAGCTGCACCCTCTTACTTTACAGACGTGAATTTACATTTCCTTCAGCCAGGCTTATTAATTTCACTTTTGGTGTGAAAAACCTTTTACATTTGCCAAAAATATAACCTTTTATATAAAAACAAACAAGCAAGCCCAGCCCAGATGAGAAAAAGTAATGCAAAAGTAAAGTAATGCTTTACTTTTCATAAACAGTAACTAAGAAATGCAATTAGTTACTTTTTTATAGAGTAACGCAATATTGTAATCCATTACTTTTGAAAGTAACTGTCACGAATTCGGTTCATGGACTTCCGTTTATTCACCACCAGATGTCACACTTTCCATTACATTGACTCTCGCACTACACAAACTGTTGCATAGCACCCCGGACTACATTTCCCATCATTCTTTGCACAATTTGCACACTGCCCTGATTGCACTCATTGCACACAGCTGTTTCTAATTACCTCATTCACTATATAACACCCACTCTATCCACCTTTCTCTGCTGAGTATTGTTTAGCCTGTACCCCTTTCCGAGTCTCCGTGTTTTCCTTGTTTTGCCTTGCCTGTTTTTGCGGTTTCTGATCTTTGCCTGTTTTCTTGGATTTCTCCCTCTTGTCTCGCCCCTGTGATTCTGTCTGCTGATCGGTGACCTACGCTAGCCCTGTGACTATTCTTGTGTTTTGCCCGCCTTATACCTGTTTGCCAGTGTTTTGACCCTGCCTGTTTACCACGTCTCTTAAATAAAGTCTGCAGATGGATCCACGTGTCTCACGTCTTGTCAGCCCCGTTACAGTAACTTTCCCAAACATTGAAAGCGGAACTACATTAAACCATTTTTGGTAGCTAAAAGCATTGGCAAATTGACCAAATTATTCAATATGTGGACACAGACTCTGTGTGGTCTTATTATAAGATGGCAACAAATGCTTATGATTATTTTATCGCAACAGTGAAAACACTGTTGTAGAATTTGGCTGTACGTCGTGCATCAAAGGTGATCATAAACTTTACCAATGTTTCTAACACCTGTTTAGGGAATTTTACAGCACCCTTATGTAAGTTTTGTGCGAAAGAGTAACAGTATTATGGTCTACAGCAGCCTAATGAGACACAGCTGTAATAGTCCATGACAGCCGGAGTCGAGTCCCCTTCATATACAGCAGCAAAACAGACTCATGACTGTGGCTACATATTGACACACTGCTTAGACAGCTAACAAACACTTTCCAACTGCGTGAAAAATAAACATATTCGAAACTTTGAATGATGAAAACATGAAGAGTATGAATTCAAATGCTTCAGCCTTGGATATGCATGAGCCCCGCTGTGTGAATGCTTTCATACACAATTTGCATGTGCTTTTTTTTCCCTGCCCGATTGGTCTAGTCAACTGTTTCCTCCCATGCAGTCAAAACATGCAGATTTGCTTTTATGTTAACCAGACATCTTTTTACTTACAGTCCGGCCTTGGCGGCTTCTAACACACAGCCCTCGGGGACACACTATCTGGATAGGGTGTTTCTGTAAGCGAACTGACTTCAAGAACACGTCTGCTAAATGACAAGTCACTAACACTCGTTTTTTTCTGTTTTCTGTCTTTCTCTCTCTGTCACTCGCTTATCAGTTCTCAGAAAGTTGTGTCTCCATCCACTAGTCTTTACCGTAACTATCTTATTCTGCTCTCACTTTTTTCTCTGTCTTGATTAATTCTTCCAATTGTTAATTGCTATTTCAAAAAGGTCATTTTGGATGTTCAGTGTTTAACGTTGCAAGTTCCTCTGTCATTGGATAAGATTGGCCACTTTTGCCAGCACTAATTTTCGGTAAACTAAAGAGACAGTTCAGCTAAAATCAAAATGCTGTCATAATTTATTCATCCCACGTTGCTACAAACCTGTATCACTATTTAATCTTACAGAACACAAAAGAAGGTATTTTGAAGAATCTTGGTAACCAAATGATTAAATAAATAAATAAACTAAGACTTTTCCGAAAATATCTTTGTTTATGTTCCATAAAAGTCCATATGGATTTGGAACAAAATGAGGGTGAGTTAATGACAGAATAACAGAAAATTAATTTTGGGTTTAAGCAAATAAAAGAGAACATTTTATTTTCGTAATGAGACATATTTCTTAGTGCAATAGGATATTCAACAATTTGGAAATGTAGGACGGGACTTGATTTTATCTATCAGGAATTGATGAGATGTGATGTTTCTATTTAGAACTCTTCAATCAACAGAAAAAGGAAAGATGTTTCAGAGGTGGAGTATGTAATTATATTTTGATGAAAGATTACCAATACCAAACTTTTCTTCTTTGGAATCAGGTGCACCGATGAATCATTCAAAACGATAAGCAAAAATGTGTTTTAAAAAAGTAAATACGGTCAGTGTAGATTTCATGTTGACTTTAACACTTCACCTTAATAGAGAGGAACATGTTGTTGTGTCCCTATCTACCCTTAAACTTTACAAACTTCTCTTCGTATCAGTCAAGATTTGAAAATATATTGTAATTTGTGTGTCCCTGCATTGTCAGACAGACCTAAGATATGCCGTCTTTTGATATCACATCTGGCCAGATTCCAAAACCAACAGTGCAACACAATCAGGCCCCTGCAGCAATATTTCACATTCACACTATGTAAGTTCTCCAACATGCGAAATCCGTACTACAAAGACTGTCATCAAATCTGTTAATTTAAACATACGATTATGCACTTCATTCATTTTCATGAAAAACATTACCGTATCATTTCCACCCTCAAGCAAGTCTTTTAGCCACCTAAACTGCTCAATATCCCCATATGACACGAGGCCAGGTGTGAGATGTTTGCTCACCGGTGGTCATACACTGCTTGGCTTTTATTTCACCGGTGTTTTCATTTAACACAGGAAATTTCGTTACACTTCAAATTTAGAATGGTCCGATGTGGCAGCCGAGGAGGATTAGGGGGCCGGAGTACAGTTTCACAGGGAACCGGTGAGGAACTTTCTCCTCTGGTACACATTTGAATTCAAACAGTATGGTGCACAGACCGAGGGGAGGAGGAGAGTGGTGAAAGTTACAGCAAGCACAAACTTGCGCTGCAATTCAAATCCAACCTCCCCCCGTCCTCTGAAGGCCTTCGGCAGCAAAGGTTCAAGGTAGGATCAGCACAGGGCCCGGGGCAAGGAATAAGGAGCATACAGACAATGCAAAGGATGCCATAAACCTCTCATAATTGAACAGACGAAGGGGCCCCAACAATAGCAACCTTCAATCACTATCAGTCATCACATCTCCACAAACATAAACTTACAGAGACCTAGAGAACTTCAGGCTGACTTTTATATCGGAGGTACAAACATTTGAAATATGAACGTATCGGAATGTTGTTGTTGCTCGGTGAGCAAAAGCGACGGAAAAATAAAAACAGTAACACCTTAAACCGTGTGAGATTAAAATTAAAAACGTTTTCACTGCTATGTTAGAATACACCAAGTATTTAACAGTAATTTGCACTCAAAATTTAAAAAACTTTTTTTTAAACACAAGGAGGAAAACCTGCATACACTACATCTTTGTTTTTGTTCTTTAATACTCAGTAAACCGGATTAATTAAACCAGAGATCAAAGGAATCTTTATTGTGGTCATATAAAAAAAAAAATTCCAATACCAGTCACTCAATTTCACTAGATATTGTCTTGTTTCAGGTGATAATGTGGTATATTTCACAGATAATTATAATAACTGTGTTTTTTTTTTTAAACAAGCTATAAACTGAATATCCAGTTATTCGCTCTCTCTTAAAAAAATTTGCACAATTCGTATAACATTCTTTCTTACATGGGACACAAATGGAGATGTGTAGACAGAATTCTATGGACTGACAGATTCAGTAACCATTCACTTTCACTGATTTTTTTCCCCATATAATGAAAGTGACTGGAGCTGTCATTCTGACTAATATCTCGTTCTGTGTTCCACAGAAACTAAAACAGGTTCGTATCAACATGAAAGTGAGAAATGATGAATTATTTTCATTTTTAGGTGAACTACTCCCTTAATCTTCATCCTAGAAGCAATGAGATAGATAGGTTCATATTTTAATTTTCCTCCCTGCATGAAGCTAAAGTTTATCTGTAAATATAACGCTTACTTTTTATAATTAATACAGGCCTACATTTTTTTCTGTACTTTTCTACAAACAAACATTTATTTGTGTTGTAAAAAAAAAAAAAGAAAAAAGAACCCAGACAAACCTCGTGTCAGTGGATTCAAATCTTTTAAGCCTTTAGGCTTTTCGAAAAGAGTTTGCCTCTTCAGCTGAAAGCCTCGATATCTCGACGGTTAATCAAACAGTCTGACTGGCCTGCATTATGACGTCATGCTTCGATACGTTGCTTTCATGTAACAATGTTACAAAATAAAATGTGAGATTCAGTGCGAAGAGTCATACAGCCATGCTTGTATCATAAAGCAGCGGGCTGGACTGGACTGGAACCCCTCTGACAGTCGCGATAGCTCTTGTTCGAGACGGGATAATAACGGTGCACGAGTATTCAGAGACAAGCGAAGATCCTCAGTTTCTGCATTTGATGAATTAAACAAAACAGGTTCAACGCTACAAACTAATTGTCCCGGACCGCTTTAGAGGAACAATGCAGAACACTTGTCACAGCGCGAACGGGACACAACACACACGCGCTGTGGCAAGCCATTTTAATATTTATTATTCCTTTTAAAGGGGTCATATGACGTTGCTAAAAAGAACATTATTTGGTTTAAGGTTAAAAAAACACATTATTTTCCACATACTGTACATTATTGTTGCTCCTCTATGCCCCGCCTTTCTGAAACGCATACATTTTTACAAAGCTCATCGGTCTGAAAAGCAAGGTGTGCTCTGATTGGCCAGCTATCCAGTACGTTATGATTGGCCGAATACCTCAAGCGTGTGACGGAAATGTGACGCCCCTTACCATACTGTGATGCCGTGTCCCGGCACGACGAGACAAAACCAATAAAACCCATTACAAACGAGGCATTTGTTGCATCCAGTTGGGACATAATTACTGATTATAATGACTTATGCTGTCTTTTTACGTGTTGTGTTGCGTATCGTGCAGCGTAAACATAAAACCATGTCTGCATTTGTGAAACGACAAACAACTACTGCTACTGCTCAAAACTCGCGTTTGAATCATCAGTGGCAAATTCTTTAATTAAATATGAAAACGTACTTACAGTCTGTGAGTCATAACAGCCGGCATTGTAGTCTACTCTCCCAGGATCAGGAAACAGTCCTCCGTCAAATGCGCTGCACACATCTGAATATTTTGGGTTGAACTGTTCTGGAACAGTGTTGTAAATACAACTTAACCACTGATTTCTAGTCGTGTCCTCTTTTGGAAGACCAAACAAAGTAGTTTCGCTTTCACAGCAAAACACACACGACATGGCGGCGGCGGCAGCAACAATACTACAGCGAGAATAAAAGGTACGCCTTCTTTCTTTGCATGAACATTTGAGCGGTGTTATGCAAATCTTCCCACACAGTGACGTAGACATGTGGGGGGCGTATTTAAACGAGGCGTTTTAGGAAGGTGTGGACGTGTCTTAACTTTCATAAAGAATATCTCTTTGGGTTTGAAACTTTAGTCTTTGCAACTTTAGGGATCTTATCTATGCACGAACAGCTTATAACACTCCAAAGAGAAAGGAAAACTTGAAATTGCATCATATGACCCCTTTAACATTTCTTATTTCTACTGTTAAGTAGTCCAATAGAACCAGGTATCTTTTTCAATTAGTGACTAATACACATTCATTACTTATTCGATTAACTATTCCATTGTTACTGGAGTCAAATTGCATTTTCGACACTGGATTCGATTTGAATCTGGTTTAGACATCATAGATATCCATATTATGTTGGTGGAACCCATTTGAACTGTAAATATTACTGTTTCCAGTAACTAGCCTATTTATTTTTCATATTTGTAAGTTACCAATAACTATCTAAGAATAGCTACTCCTGCTATCTATTCCAGGTTTACTATATTTTGTCCTGAGTAGCCTACCTAGTTACAATACACTGTCTAGCACTGATCTTAATTGTTATTTTAGTAACATTTCTTACTGTATTTTTGTTCATATATGCACTGATGCGTTGTTTTAATTGCTACTTTATATACTTATAAGATAAAAAAAATACTAGTCTATAATGAATGTATTCAATTACTGATACTAGGGAAACTATAACAGATACTGTTTGAATAGTTACTAGTAACTAAAGTACACATAATGAATAGTTACTAGTGAAACATACTAGTATACAATAGGCTATATAGCATATAAAATATACTAGTCCCTACTTGATTTCTTACTAGTATTTAGAAATAAGTAGATACTGGTACCAAATGAGTTCGTTAAAGGAATAGGCTAAGTGCAAGCATGGCTTGCCACAAACATGCTCATACAAATACAAGCGAAGTAAAAAACTGTTGTAAGACACCGATCGTGTTTGACAGCTTCTTGCGCGCAAACCAATAACTCCGCGTAAAGTTTTGCGCCATGCAACAACATAAGTTTTGATATCAGAATCAAGAAGAAGAAGCGAGCTGTTTAACGCGACACGATCCCTTAACGCGCAATTTGGGTATTCAAAGCAAATTCAACGCGCAAAGCTGTTACATGCAAACATTCCCTGGAGATCCGAAAAGAATAAGTCATGATCAGTTTGTTTTCTGCATGGAACGTGAACGACTTAAATAGACGCGTTCAGACAGACTCTGTATAGGTACTTGAAATTTGTTTATGTGACTCTCCAACAACTTGTCACTTCTTCAGGCTCAAGAGAATGATTATTTCAATGGCACCGACTCGGCAAGTGCATGTGAATGCGAAGGAATTGATGTATCGGTATGGAAAACAACTCAAACAACTCACCGCAGAAGTCTGGAGAAGATGCGGCACACTTTCTGAAGGAACCACGTTGGACTGAGGAAAGATTACAATACGATCTATTTAGAGAAGCATTACATCACCCTTTGGTGACGTCACGTGGGATTCCTGAACTTCTAAATCATTGCGGTTCCTCGGAGGGGCGGGGCTTGAGGGGCAAAGAGGGTGAGCCGCTGGAGGATGATGATGTGATTTCCCTAACATCGTCTGATCCAGCGGCCAGTGTTCTGCTGGGTTTGGCCCAGGAAGAGCAGGAGATGTCTGAGTAGGGCGAAGAAGTTGAGGCTGAGCCCTCCCAATCTTCTTGCCCTGTGTATGATGAGCTACAGGAGGTTAGGGATCGCGCCACAGCGAGGCTTGACTTGCCGTGGAAGCGGGGCAGGGGGGGGGGGGGGCGGGGGGGGGGGCGGGACCAGTGGGTGTGGCGGCCGGACGGCAACACCAACACCAACCAACATCTGTCTGACTCCTTCAAGTTGCTATTGAGTTAGTCATACACGGCTTATAAAAGTATTTATGATCATGAGATAAATATTCTCAATTGATTTTATATTTTTTTCAATTATTACATAGACAATTAAACAACTAAATAAACAGTTTAGTTAAATTATTGAAGCTAACACTTGAATTGTGTATTAATATTAAATTAGTAAATTATATAATAAATTATATATAGCTAAATTATAGCTACAGTCAAATATTTTGAACATTTTTCATTTTAATATTTGATGAACAACTAACCTGTTATGCTGATGACTTCTCATGAGATGTTAACAAATGATTTTGATTTACTTTTTTTTTCTTTTACAGGAGACGTAACATGCACAGACTAAAGACACCAAACGTCCCAGCTCAGTTATCAAGGTCTGTTAATTGTGCACATCTTGCCAGTGCCTCTGTGCTTACTAAATAATGAAAGTGTCAGGGGTAAATAAATTATTGGTTGGATTATGTCTGCCTGCAAGTGTTGAATTTAGAAGATGGTGTTACAGAATCAAAGCTCTGACTCCTTTGTCTGCAGGTAATTGCCAGGCAGACGTAATGCGATGCAGGTGGCATCGAAGGACAAACAAACTAATACCTTTGTTTATTTCTGTGACATTCAGTACTTTCTATTACTTCCAACTGTAAACATGTGCTGGTATTACAAAACATATAGTATTAAATAATTCACAAAGTCTACACTCAAATGTTGGCAAACAAAATAACATATGATACATAGAAAATTACTGGTAACACTTTACAGTAAGGCTCCAGTTAGCTTGATTAGTTAAAGAAATAGTTCACCCAAAAAATGAAAAATGAGTTTCTTTCTTCTGCTGAGCACAAAATAAGTTATTTCGAAGAATGTATCAGTTGACAGTTGATTTCCAGAAAAAAAAAAAAAAAAAAACTCTTCAAAAGATCGTCTTTGTTTTAGTGAACAATCCCTTTAATGTAAACTAACAACAAAAAATACTTCTAAAGCACGTACTAATCTTAGTTAATGTTAACTTTAACATTTACTAACACATTAAAATTAACACACACACTAAAATGAATAGATTCAATATTAATAAAAAAATTGAACATTAACAGAGATTGATAAGTATTGTAACAAAGGTTTGCTAATTGTTAGTTAATATTAGTTCATGCATTAACCAACATTAACTAATATGGCCTTATTTCAAAGCGCTACCAAATGAACCATACATTTTAAAAAAATGTAAAGATTAGTAACTGGCAAAACTATACATTGTAAAAACTGCAATTGTTACCTTAAAGAGCCAGATTCTGCCAGATTTAAGCCATAAAATTTAGTTTTGGTATAAATTAAAGTATTTAGGTTGATTCAGCAGTAACATTATTTTTGACTTTTAAAATCAGTCAGTACTTAGACGTTGCTACTTTTAGGTTACCATTCTCAGTGTATTGAAAAATTGTATGTGGGTGTGTGTTGGGGGGGGTCAAAATGTTGATCCATTGCCCAGATTATCAGAAACATTATTATTGACTAATGAGCCTGAAACCTTTGTATACAAAATCCTAAAAACACAATAGAGCCAGATTCTGCCAGATTTAAGCCATAAAATTTAGTTTTGGTATAAATTAAAGTATTTAGGTTGATTCAGCAGTAACATTATTTTTGACTTTTAAAATCAGTCAGTACTTAGACGTTGCTACTTTTAGGTTACCATTCTCAGTGTATTGAAAAATTGTATGTGGGTGTGTGTTGGGGGGGGGGGTCAAAATGTTGATCCATTGCCCAGATTATCAGAAACATTATTATTGACTAATGAGCCTGAAACCTTTGTATACAACATCCTAAAAACACAAAAATGGAGCTGTTAAAACTGCTGTAGAACTATTAATCTAATATACTGTCATTTTATTAGTATATTTTTACATGCAAGAGACAGTAACAAAGAAAACGGTCATGAGGTTCATCGTAACTAAACTGAAGTTAAACTGGCACGTCAGCTATTATAGGGTAAAAATAAAAAGAGTGACAAGCTGCTGAGGGTAGACAGAGTCACAACCTTTCAAGCTCTAGCGAATGTGCTGGTGGCGGCAGTGTGATTTCTGATGTTGAGGGTACACCAGAGGAGTCTGGGATTGCTTTGGCGATTAATGACTGTCTGCTCCTCGGAAAAGAGCTGTTTACAATGGGCCACCCGTGCTTAGAGCTCTGTCACGGGAACAATAGCCTCAACTGCCATCATAACTCAGCCGTTTCGCTTGCCTGTGTCTTTTCACCTGGGCCTTAATCAAAGCTTTATGACACTTTTTGTTCCTTTATGGTCTATATATTTCTCCCAGCCATCCAGCCATCATCCCGTGGGAGAGCTGTGCAGTAAGTGGCATAAGTGCACAGTCAGTGATGGGTCACTGACCCCACACTTTAAAGGATTTTATCTCTAATGCATGGCAGTTTAGTCTGTCCCCTAACGTCTAATTCAGTTTGCCAAGAAAAGGTGAAAAAGTCAAATTTTTATGTCGGGTCTAATTGGGTTAGAATTTTTTTTCTTATCTATCATCTAAAGTCAGCCATCAGTCGTATAATCAATCACTATTGCAGAATATGCTAAATTTTGCTGAATGATAAGAAATTCGCACTTAAGATGGCCCATCCCAGGAACCGCAATTTGAGAACACGACAGCTGAAACCTGATTGCAATTTGACATCAGAGCGTTGATTCACATGAGACAGAAGACTTCAGAAAACCTCATCCCAAAAAGGTTCATTGTCAACAAACACAAGCGAGAGATCATGTGTTTAATCAGCTCTTTGACTTAAGTTGACCTTGGACTGAACTAGACTCGCCTTTGATGGTGAACATGTCCCAGAACAGTTTAATTGCATTCAGAAGACTGGAATGGTTGCAAGGAGAACACTTATTGCGGTTACATCAGTTCAGGAGATTCACAGACACCCACACATAAGTCTACAAACTGTAGAAGTTAGGGTTTTTTTTCCTCTCATTTAAGAAAGACAGCCTCATCAGACAACCCACTGAAGAGGATCCTGATGAGGGGATTAAAGACATTGTGGAGATTGCCTTGAAGAAAATGGTACTATTATGTCATAAAATACATATTAGAATGTAAACTGCACTTTTAGGTGTAGAATACAGATTTTTAATTAAGCGTTCATTTAACATATTTACATCAGTCCACACAGTGTTTGTTTGTTTGTGCATTTATTTCTCATTCCTCTACATGGATCTACATATTTATATCAGTACAATGATTATTTATTTGTTTGTTGTTTGTTTGTTTTGCATTCTTCTAAATGGATCCACATATTTACATCAGTCCAATAGCACACGATGATCAACACCGCAACTAAGGTTACAACACTGGAGAACTAAAACAAACAAAAACAATATCCCATCAGCTCAAAAGCAGAAAATGTACGTATCAAATGTCAGTGGTATAATGAAGGCCCTATCGGGCAAGAACTAATAATTATTGTTTATATTTACAGAATACAAGGAGTTTGTTCAAGATATAGTTAGTCAAAACAAACCCATTCAGATGCAGCAGAGCAGTGTGTGTGTGTGTGTGTGTGTGTGTGTGTGTATGTGTGTGTGTGTGTGTGTGTGTGTCTGACCATGACATGTAACCAGATGTATCATATAACCAGATGTATCATAAGGGCCAGAAGTGTATCTAATTTTGGCAGTTGTTTGAATCCAGTATTATGTCATAACTCAAGATGTATTTTACATTCACTTGAATGCAACTAATAGTCATAAAATAAACATCTCAAAGAAAAACATACATGGCTATTTGAATTCTTAATTCAGATTTAAGCAGCATTTTGCCTCAGGTTTGAATGCTTCTAAGAATGATCGTTAGATTGGCTGTTTCATCTTCTTGATGGAATGTTCCAGCCTCTCTCAGTTGAGTCATCTTCATGTCTTGAAGTGCCTGCAGGGATGGAAATGTTGAGGTATGCTTTGTGTAATAACACAAATCTACTCCCCCAACAATACTCTTTGTTTTGCTCGAAATGGTGGTCTACCTCAGGAGAACACTTTTAGAAAGAAACAAACATTATTTGATTATGGAAAGTTGCCCTGCACTTCATTTAGTGCAAATGTCAGAGGAAGTGATGTCACAATGAAACTGCATTACTCTGCACTATAAGAGGTCATCTAGATTTTGGAGCCAGCAGAAATTCCCTCTTTTCACAAAAGATTGTTAACACCAAGTCATTCTGGATTTCACACTGATCAATTTTACTGATCCGGTATCAAGATTTCACGGTTTACATTTATAAAGAATGGGTTAATGCTCTCGTTTACAAATTCAAACAACCTGTTTGAAATTGACATGAAATGAAAATTCACACAATCACTTTTCTGAATGAATGTTATAGATCTTAATGTGAATGATTCATTCACGTTTTTTTTTTTATGTGAATGATTTATTAATTCTTTAAAAAAATTGAATCAGAATGTCATAACTGGATCGTCCAGTAAAAAAAAAAGTTTTCCCCCGATAATCGGTTTGACTCAGATGTATGTCAAAATACAGAAAAAAGATCGGTCACTACTTCCATTACATTGTGACTTTAAATAGC